TTATTTGTATTTATTTTAAAAGTATTTAAATTTAATAAATTTAATTGTATATATTGTATATAATAAAAAATATTACACAATAACTTTATAAATTATTTTACAGTTTACAAATAAGCAATATATGAATTGGTTAGGATTTTGCCATATAGTGGCAAGATTCTAATCAATTCATATATGCTTATTCTTAAACTGCTTATTAAATTAAGTATAAAATTAAACTTATATGATTTCACAATTATTTTTAATATTTTTTTAACATCTTATATGCATTGCATTGGCGAACTCCAAGGTATCGCCCGGGTCAAACTGCTAGTATAGTTTAATATTTTCTGAGCTAGCAATTATTTGAAATTTTTTTAATAAATAAAATTTTATTGTTTTATTTTTTAAATATTATAATTAAATTTTTAAATTAATTAAATAATCAATATGTAAAATATTAAATAAAAAATATTTTTCTGAATAATATTTATAAATTATAATTTATATATTATTTTAAAATAAAAATTTAATTATTTTTAATTTAAATAATTATTTAAAATTTAATTTCACATAAATGAAATTATTTTATAATTTAATTTATAGCTATTATTAAAATTTTTTTATAACTTATTTTTATAAAGTCAATACTATTAAATTACATATTAAAAAATGTTTAATTCAAAAAAGATTTAATAAAATTATAAGTTAGTACTCCAGTATATTTAATTTCACTTTCACTTAAATCAAGTTTTGCTTTATCATATATAGCTTATGTAAACTAATATAAAATAAAATTTGATGTTAGTTAATAGCAATATCATATCATAATATAATGTATCCTTCTATGACTATACTTATATCAAAAATATTACTTACAGTAAATTTAAATTGATTATTATCATAATGTCATAATTTTTTTCACAAAATATAATATATATAAGTTGATTATTACTTAAACTCATATTTTGCTTAAAATTATCATATGAGATCATTATCTAAGATAAATATTTTCTAGCATTCTTATATAACCAATTTGCAAAATTATCTTCATTTTCATCATATTTTTTGTACTTGAAGATCAAGAATTTTATTTAAATATGAATATGAATTAGTAAACAATAGATTTAGAAATTTAGCATGTAAACCATAACCTACTAATTTTCCTGTATTTGCATTCCTTTTTGTTCACGTTTTATTTTATGATATGCTTTTATATAACTTTCATTTTATAACTAAAATAATTTTAACTGATTGTTTAGTAATATTACATATAATTTCACCAATAACTATATTTTTATATATAATTCATTTATATTAATTAGGATTTTTCAAAATCAAATTAATCAAATATTTAAGCAATTTGAATTTGTTTTGATTTTTTCAAATTAAATTAAATTGAATTGAATATAATCAAATATAAAAAATTTTTAAATATTTACAATGATATATTAAAATATTAAAATAAAGTTATTCTAAAGTTTTAATTAAAAAAATTATTAGTAATTGCATTAAAAAATTTCAAAAATAGCTTTACAAATAAGTTTAGTAACAAGTAAATTTTTACTATTAAACTTAATAAAAAATTTTGCAGTTTTACTAAGAAAACTTAGTAATAACTGCTATTATAGCTTTGGTTTTACTAAGAAAACTTAGTAATAACTGCTATCCTAGCTTCGTAATCCAATTTATTAGTAAAAAATATTTCTGAAGCTGAGGCATTTTTTATTAAATTTTCTTAGTAAAATAATATCTTTGAAACTGTGAAGTCATTTTTTACTATATTTTCTAAGTAAAAAAGGCATTTTTGAAACTATAAAGACTATGATTTTCTTAGTAAAAAAGGTATTTTTGAAATTGTGAAGGTGTTTTTTACTATAGTTTTCTTAGTAAAAGCCACTCTTGAAGCTTTAGAAATAGCTTTACTGTTGATTCAAATCAAATTAAATATTTGAATACTTGATTTAAATTTAATCGAATCAAATCAAATATAAATTTGAATTTGTATTGATTTGATTTTTAAATTGAATATTTAAATATCAAATCAATTGTGGAATTATAATATCAATAAATTTTAATTTTTTTTTAGTTTTATTTCTGAATAAAAATTAAATTTATTATAATATTTCTCAAATAAATAAGTATATTTCTCTACACTCAAAAATTACAATATTTTTCTGCAATTTTTAAGATCTTTAAATAAATTATAAATCAATCTTAATAACTATTATATAAATTTTAATAAATTTTATCATTTATATGTGTAAATAAAAAACTTGAAAATTTAAGATAAGAATTCTTAATAAATAATTGTTTATAAATAAAAATTAAGTGTTTCATTGTTTAAACATTATAAAAACTTAAAAATTTTCTCTTTAAATATATACTCTTTTTAAAAAAAATTAAATTAACTTTTAATTTAGAAATATAAATAAATTGTATACAAAATATTTTATCATCTAAAGATTAAAAAGTTTTAAAATTTTCTTTCAATCTAAAATCTGAAAGGAGTTGTTAAGCTTAAATGATTTGTCATTAAGTTAACAAAGATTATTTGCTAACAGGAAGCTTAAGTATGTCTAAACTATGAAAGAAATAAATATGAATTTATTTATATTGAAGGGTCAGGTCATCTTTATTGATATAAATTTAAAGAAGTATGAATTATAAATAGCAAAGATAAGATTTAGAGATAAAATGTTATTGATTGATTTATTAGAGATTTATAATGACACTGCCCTCTTTGTTTAAAATACAAATTTTGAGTTATTTATAATTATTAAATAATATCATTATATAATTTGAATATAATAATAATTCTGATAAAATAACTTTAACATTTAAGTTTACCTCTTTATATTCATATGAAATAATCTATCCCAAATAGAAAGAGTCAACTGTATATACAAAATCACAGTGATAATGAATTCCTATATAATTTATCAAAACTAGAGGTTGAAACCGGTTAATTTTTAACCGTTAATTAACCGGTTAAGACGTTTTTCTTGTTAACCGGTTAAAGATTTTTTTTTAACTGGTTAAAATAACTAATGTTAACTCTGCCCGAAATTTAATATTCGGCAGAATTAAATTTTTTTCAATTACAAAATTTCACTAGTTTTGCCCAAATTTGTATTTCCGGCCTGAGTTAAATTTAACCGGTTAAAGAATTTTTTAACCGGTTATTAACCGGTTAAGGATTTTTGCCGTTCCAACCTCTAATCAAAACTACAACCTAATATATTTGATCTTATCTCTGGCCGAAATTTAATTTCCGGAAGAATTACGATTTTTGTGATTACAAAATTTCGCTAGTTCTGCCCAAATTTAAAAAATATTTATTATTAAACCGGTTAGGGGATTTTTAGGCCGTTTCTTTGGTTATATTCTGTTACTTCCTTTATAATTGACAAAAACAATTATATAATAAATATTTTTAAATTATGTTTTGAATCGAATTATATTTATAACGGCGAAGAACACATTTTTGCAAGTTTAAACTCTAATCAATAGACGATACAACATCTTAAACTTTTAAGTAAAAAATAGTGTAACGAAAGAATTATATTTTATATACAAAATATTTACAAGTAGTGAATATATATTTAATTATTTACAATAAGAATAAATAAAGAAATAAAAATGCTGAACGTCTATACTGCTTTCTATGCAATTATTCTTAAATTTGCTTTGATACAATGTTGCTAACTACATATTGTGAACTGGTGGTGATAACTACGTTATGATTATGGATTTGATATGTTGCGATAAATAGACGATTCTTTTTAATTATGATTTCTGATTATTGTTTTAAAGTTGCTTTTAAAGTTCTTGTTTCTAGAATGGAAATATCGGTTCCAATTTATACTTACTCCTAATTTCCTAAATTAGAAAAATGCTTAAACTATATTATACAATCTTATATCTGCTGCTTTATTATACCAATAAATTGTTTGTTTCAAGTCTTTTTTTATTTTTTCATATAAATAACAAAGATAATATTGAGCTAAAATGTATCCATTATTAAATACACAAGCTTTAGCGTCTTTTTCAACACAATTCCCGAATCTACAGCAACGGCCCATATTATATTGGACTACCTTATTTACTTTTCTTTTTGCTGCTTTATGATGCCAATAAATTGCTTTTTCTATACCTTGACCATTTTCATATAATGAAGTAAAGCAGTTCTTAACTATATTACTTTCATTTTTAGCCGCATTACAATATAACTGCTTTGCTTCATTTTTACTAATATATGTTCCAATTCCATTGTCATAACAATGACCAATCCGAAATATTGCACATACATAACCGTTATCAGCTGATTTTTTATAGTTTATGAAGGCTTTAATTTCATCCTTTTTATTCCCGATTCCATATTGAAAACAACGGCCTAAATTATATTGCGCAACAACATTTCCATTCTTTGCTGCTTTATTATACCAATAAAAAGCCTTTTTTAAATTTCTTTCTTTGATTTTACGTTCATATAATAATCCAAGGTCATTTTGGGCTGCACTATTTTCGTTTTCAGCTGCTAATTGATATAATTCAAACATCATTGCATGATCTTTTCTGGTCCCAATGCCGAATTGATAGCATTTTGCCAAATAATATCGTCCAATATTACTTCCATTTTTTTCCGATTCTTTATAATATTTAAAAGCCAAATTCAATTTTTTTTCATCATTATAGCATTTTGCAAGATAAACTTGCGCAATCGAACAATTTTTTTCTGATGCTTTTGAAAACAATTCAAAAGCCTTACATCTATTTCCTTCTGTGCCAATATTGTAATAATTAAACAATCCAGATAGCCAAATATAATGAGATTTGTTTTGATTCTTTGATAACCATTCTGAGAATATCATTGTATCTTGATTTGTTTTTAACATTTGTTGAATGATGTATTTTTTAATTTGATTAATTAAAATACCTCCATCATGTTTTGTAATTATAAAGTTAATTAACTCATCAATAAATTTATTCAATTCGCAAGTTTCTATATTTAAGTTAGCAATATCTAATTTGTCAATATTAGAATCATAATTTGTAGTTACTTTGCTCAATTCTTTGTCATCATTATTAATTTCATCTTCTTCATAAATATTGTCATTAATTGAATTACTTTGTTTGGGATCAAGAGTTGAAACAACTTCCTGTATATCCGGACGTTCATTTGGTTCATACGTCCAACATCCTAATAGTAGTAAAGAATCAATAAAATTAAGTATTTTAAATTAAAAAAAAAATACTTTATCTAATTAAAATAACCGCTTACTTTTAATTAATTTACTATATTGTATAGGAGTTCCATAAATAATTGTTTCTCTCTTACCATTTACTATTTTATGTATTAATCCTATATCATTACAATCAAAGTGAAATGGTTTATTTCCACTTGAAATTTGCCACATGAGTACTCCAATGCTATATACATCAGACTTTTTGTCTAGCCTGTAATCGTTATCCCTTAACCGTTTTGGGTCAAGATAAGGTACAACACCAAATAATTTTTGTGTATAACATGATGCATTACTTGCTGTATTGCTTTTATCTTCAGTCACTTTTCTTGATAAACCAAAGTCTGCCAATTTAATTTGGTTCCGATGTAATAGTATATTGCCGGCATGCTTTTTTGTATCAAAAAAAAAGTTCGAGTTAATATATATTTAGCGAAATAATAAGAATTGAACTCATTTTAATTTACCAAATCACGATGAATAATATCTTCTTCATGTAGATATTCTACAGCACTAGATAGTTGAAATGCCAACTGGTATTTGTCATCCCAATTAAGATTACTAAAATACTTCTTTAAATAATCGTTCAAAGTACCGCAATCAGCGTATTCTAAGACTAAAGAGTACATATCTGTAATCATAAAAAAAAAACTGTATTAATTAAAGAAATGTAGATTAAATTCAATAATATATTTCTAACACTCACTGGGTTTTACCATTGTGACTCCATATAACCGTATAATATTGTCATGATCATTAACATTCCAATGCAGTTTAAACTGTGTTAAAATATATAATCAAGTTAATGCAATTTTGTTTTTATTTGAAGTAATCACAAAAAATTAATATACCTCTTTAACGACATCATTAATGTTTACTTGATTATTGTAAGTTTTCACAGCGAATAAACGTTTATTATTCCAAAAAGCTCGATGAACAGTTCCATATGAACCATGTCCTATGGTTTGCTTATTTTTAAAATTCGAATGTTTGTAGGATTTGATAAGTCCATTAGCAATTGCATTGTTCAACCAATTAATATTGATGTCGTTTGTCATTTTATTCTTTTTTGTTTTTCTGTTTGCAAAGATTTTATAATTAAAAGAAACGTTTTATAAAGGTACAAAATTACAAATCAGTTATTCAACAATGACATCACAGTTATTTTGTGATACATAAAGAAAATACTTTCATTTCAGCCATGTGTGCCGCCAAACAAACCGCAAATCTTTTTTTTAGTAAAAAGACAAAGCGATACTGAACCTTTTCATTTGTCAAATGAATACAGATATGGAATTGATTTTAATAATAATAAGAATTATCATTACTAATACAACCGATTTATTTTACCAATCTAATCTTATCTTATCAACAGAAAATGTTATCTATGGCGTATAAAGAATAATCTTCCAAAACATTTATCCATGAAAAAGCGATATAAATGCCGAAGTTGGTTGTAATCTTTTATTCTAAAAATAAGTAAATTTAATATGTATATTCAATTTAATAGATTAATTTATTACAAGTAAAATAATTTACATAGAAATAAAAACTTTTCTCGTGAAAAAAAAGTCGTCCGTTTTCTACGTTATCTCCCGTGCGATTACAATTATTTACATATTGGCATTACTTTTTTATTTATACATATATAAACTGAGTCAGATATCTCATACTACTAGTAAAGTATTTTCAAAAGTAAGCGAATTATTGTGCTATTTGGATTTAAAAAACTATTTAACGTAATTAACTTAATTTATAGCTCACGTGTTGTAATTTTGACCAGCATTATAAAATAAAACTTGAGTTACTGACGAAATAATTGTTTAACCGGTTATTAACCGGTTAAGGATTTTTGGCCGGTTCCAACCACTACAAGTATTTTATCTTGAGTTATTTTATGCTTTATCTTTTACCATTGATATTGTTACTACTGTTGCTGCTGATTTATTTGCTATTTCTACCATTAAATTTCGATTCACCATGTTTCGTGACTCACTCGTTAAACTACCTGTGGCATTCCTGAAATTTTTTTTCTAAAAGTATTCCGAATCATGGAAAACATATTCTAGTTTTAATTTACCTCTATAAAAAAATTTTGTCTGTATTTTTCCGTGGCTTTTGTGAAAAGATCTGATCAGTACGGATTCTATATATAATATTATTGAGACCAGTACAGCACATAATTTTGTATTGTACTGATCAGACGATTCGTACTGATTTATTTAATTTTATTAAGATAATTTTTTTTTATTTATTTTTGAAATAAAAATTTTTTTTTTTTTTATTAAGAACGGAACGCTTTGAAGAATGCAAAATCAATCATTGAGATGTTTCATTAACATAGGGTAGAAAATCAAGGTATATAGAAAACTGGTACGGTACAATAATAGAAAGTACCGTACTGGTCCTATATATAAATGCTTTCTATTATGGACCAGTACGGTACGGTACGATATTTTTGTCCAAATTTTGATCGTATCGTACCGTAACTGGTCTCAATAATATTATAGAATCTGTACGGTACGATCAAAATTTGGAGAATCGTACTGATCTGCATGATCGTACCGTACTGATCAGCAGTACCGGTTTTCCTCCTCCCTTATTAATTTCTATGAAAGAAACTGTACGCCACGCCATTGTACTTACACAAACATTTATGCAACAGTAATTAACGTCTTCCTCCAACTTGTAAAGAAAAAAATAACCTTTTGAACTAACTATTTTTAATCTAAAATTCAGATTCGAACATTATTTTTTTTTGTATCTTAAAAAAAAATAACTGCTCATCAAAAAAAAAAAATTCCAAAAAACGATCCTCAATTTGCAGTATTTTGAAAGTTGCTAAAATTTAATTTTAAAAAATAATCGTTTATCATTTGAGAAAAATTAAAGGTATTATAATGTTTAAAGCAAATGTCAAACACATCGTGGTACATAATATAAAAAGAAACTCTTGTATTACTGTAACATAAAAGTTATTGGTTCAGCGATATATAAAGCAACTTTGTCGATTAAACTAATTTTTTTTTCTTTTTTTATTGAAATAAAAAAGGTCTAAAATGTCAAATAAAGACAAACTTCAAAAATCAAAGACTTTACAAAGTTTAATAGCAGATGAATGGATCAACTTTTACGAATATGAAGACTTCAAAGATGTACAACCAATAGGAAGTGGCGCATTTGGAAAAGTATTTTGTGCTAATTGGAAAGATACAGACGCTATTTTTGCTTTGAAGTCTTTTGATGATAATAAATTAACCCGTAAAGAGTTCATCAATGAGGTATAAATACATAATAATTTTAGTTTTTCAAATAATGAGTCAGTTTAAAATCAATTCCCGTATTTTTTTTTTACAGATAAAATTACAGAAAAAAGTTGATTTTCATCCAAATATTTTACGGTTTTTTGGAATTTCAAATATTAATTTTGGTGAGAATTATAAATATATATTTATGATCTCATTTAATTAATAAATTTAATAAATTAAATTATTTGAATTGATTCAATTTAGACACAATTTATCAGATGAACAAATACTTATTGGTATTGGAATTCGCTGATAGTGGTACACTAAATGCTTATCTAAGTGAGCATTTTAATGAACTCGATTGGAGCGACAAATATCAGCTAGCATTGCAATTAGCAAGTGCTTTAGAATGCATACATAATTGTGGTATTATTCATCGCGATCTGGTATTGATTTATTTATTTTTTGATTCATATAACCTATTTCTCCTTGTTAATTAATGCTCTTAAATTTACAGCATGCGTGTAATGTACTTGTGCATCAAAAAATTATTAAGTTAGCTGATTTTGGTAGATCAAGAAAAATTACCGAAGCTTCAGAAACAAAAATACATGGTGTATTACCTTATGTAGACCCAAAAGGCTTAAATAATCATAATAAGAAATACAAATTAACAAAAAAATCTGATATCTATAGTGTTGGAGTTTTGATGTGGCAAATTTCAAGCGGATGTAGACCATTTAAGGGTGTAGATTATGATATAAGTTTGACCTTGGATATAATAAATGGAAAAAGAGAGAAAATAATCGATGATACTCCTTTTGAATATAGTATCTTGTATCAAAGTAAATATATTAATACAATTATTTTTTATTTTAGTAAAAATTAATCATAATAATTAATATTTTTTTTAAATGAATAGAATGTTGGAAATGTGAACCAAGAGAACGTCCAAATATACAAGAGATTGTTTCAACTCTTAAATCAATGACTTCTCTTAAACAAGATGGAACTGATGATGTTATTGTTGCTACTTATAAGGGAATAGATAATTTACAAATAAAAGATGAATTCACAAGCGAATGACTGCTGATGATGGTTTATTGTTAGAAAATATACCAAATATTGATCATTTTAAAAATATCGGATCTGAAAGCGATTCAAGTTTAAAACAATCAAATCTAATAGTTTGCAAAAATAATTCATCAAATGTGAATTTTAAAGAATTAAATTTGTCAATTGATTCATTTGAACGAATGGTTAATAATATACACAATCAAGTTGTTGATAATCTAATTAAAATAATCATTAAAAAACATAATCAGGGAAACACATTTAATCAAATCGAATATCATATTAAGCAACAAATATTACAGTTTAATCAAAATATTAATGATGCTTTAAATTGGCTTATAAAAAATCAAAATAGTTCACAATATATATGGTTTTTAGGATTATTTTATTATTATAATATCGAAGTAGATGAGGATAGCAGTAAGGCATTTGAATTATTTTTAAAAGCAGCGAATGAAGGTTGTTCAATTGCGCAAGTTTATCTTGCGAGATGTTATCATGATGGATATGGAATTGAAAGTAATAAAGAATTAGCATTTAAATGGTATCAAAAATCTGTAGAAAATAAAAGTATTATTGGTCAATTTTATTTAGGACATTGTTATGAATTTGGTATTGGAATAAAAGAAAATGCAAAGGAAAAAGTAATTTGGTATCAAAAAGCAGCTTGTAATGGGAATATGATTGCAAAACTTTATTTGGCAGATTGTTATAGATTGGGAAAAGGAATTGAAAAGGATGAAAAAAGGGCATTCGTGTATTATGAAAACTTAGCCAAACAAGAGGTCTCTGATGCTCAACATCAATTAGGAAATTGTTTTTATAACGGTATTGGAACAATAGTGGATCTAGTCCTAGCATCTTGTTGGTATGAAAAAGCAGCAAATAATGGAAATATAATGGCAAAATATATTCTTGAACAAGATTTTAAAAAAAAATTAGATCTTAAAAGAACCAGTAATAAACTTTATAAAGTAATCTATTTTGAAGGATTAAGACAAATTGGAATGAATAATTATAATGGAATTGGAACAAACCAGAATTATATAAAAGCCTTTTCATATTTTCAAAAAGCAGCAAATAGCGGAAATAAATTCGCACAATATAATTTAGGTAATTGTTTTAAAGATGGCAAAGGCATTAAAAAAAATCAAAGAAAAGCTTTTGAATTATTTGAAAAATCGGCAGAACAAGGTTATATAAATGCAATTTTTGAATTAGGTTCTTGCTATAAAATAGGAAATGGAACTGATAAAAACATAGTAAATGTATTTGAATTGTATAAAATGGCAGCTAATAAAGGATATAATATAGCTCAAAATTGTCTTGGAAATTTATATAAGGATGGTGAAGGTGTAGCAAAAGATTTAGTAAAAGCCATTTATTGGTATAATAAAGCAGCAGAAGATGGATATGAAATTGCACAATATAATCTCGGTATTTGCTACCAATTAGGAATAGGTGTTGATATAGACGAAATTAAAACTTTTGAATATTACAAAAAGTCTGCGGAAAAAGAGTATGTAGATGCACAATTTCAACTTGCTTACTGTTATAATAAAGGATTTGGAACTAGAATAAACAAATTAAAAGCTTTTGAATTATATCGGATATCTGCAGGAAAGGGATATAGTAAAGCACAAAATGTTCTTGGAGTTTTATATGAAAAGGGTGAACGTATAGAAAAGGATTTAGAAAGAGCTGTTTATTGGTATAATAAGTCAGCGGAAAACGGATATGGTGTAGCACAATATAACCTTGGTCGGTGTTATAATTTAGGAATGGGTGTTCAAAAAGACGAAACCAAAGCTTTTGAATTATTTAAGAGATCGGCAGAGCAAGAATGTTTAAATGCACAATTTGAGCTCGGATTTTGTTATGATGAAGGAATAGGAACTGAAATCAATAAATTAAAAGCATTCGAATTATATAAAATGGCAGCCGATAAAGAGAATAATACAGCTCAATGTAATCTTGGTTATTTTTATGAAAATAGTGAAGATGTTCATTATTATTTGGGTAATTTTTATATGTTAGGAATGGGCGTTGAAAAAGATGAAGCTATAGCTTTTGAATATTATAAAAAATCAGCTGAAAAGGGATATAGTATTGCACAATATAAACTTGGTTATTTATATGAGTGTGGTATTTATACAGAAATAGATTTAGAAAAAGCTACTTATTGGTATAATAAGGCAATAGAAAATGAAAATGATGTTATAAAATATTATCTTGGTATTTGATAAGTTAGGTTTCAAGTAATTTAAATTATCGAGTTCACAAATTATTTTATTTTAAGGTTTTGAGCATTCATTAAAAACTTGATATCCTTAGTTAATCTAAAAGTGATAGTCGTCTTGATGTATATAAGTTTTCGAAAAATATTTGAGTTTATATATGAAATTACCTTATTTTCATCGTAGTTCTAAGTGTATTTGCTATACTGTATATTAGCATAATTAATATTGGATCCAGTTAATAAATCGATTTCAAGATTCTATTTAAATTGGGATAAACCAAATTCTATCAGTTTATTCATTAATTGTTTTAATAAATGATCCATTTAAATATCAAGATTTGAAACAAATTTCTTATAAAGCTCGATAATGATATATATTTAATTCATAAATTTATTAAAATAACATATACTTCGATATTTTGAAGATTAAATTATCACGTGTATATATTTTGAGTTTTCGCGTTTACTTTTTTAGAGGTTGGAACCGGTTATCTGACTAACAGGTTAAAAAATTCTTTATCCGGTTAACAAGTCAAGCTAAACGTTAGTTAACCAATTAAACATTACCTTTTAAAAGAACTATAAATTTCCAACAAATAATCACTTTTAGAATTTTATTTACCAATTTGAAACTGCAATAGTAAGGTTTCATAAAGTATTAATATAATATTAAATAAGTTATATTTTAAAACTATATCTTTTAATAAACTATACACAATAATCAAACCATACATATCATTTTTGTTAGTATTTATTAACAACGGTCCACTTTCCTATAAAGAATTTCGGTAAAAGATTTTTTTTTCTTTCATAAATTTTAAAAAATTTAATAGAATATAATTTGTATGGAGAATTTATACCCATAAAAAAAGTTATTTATTTTTAAAAATACTAATAACTTACAATGTATAAAAATAATAATATGTATTTTTTTATTTACTAGTTTAAAATATATCAATGTAGCTTATTTCGATATAAAAAAGTTAATTGTAGTTTATTTGTAATATCAAAAAACAAGATTGTTTACATCATATGGGTAAGCACGATAATAATATTTGTTATCAAAATATCGCCTTATAAATATTCATTAAACTAAAATAAATATTTAAAGATTATTAAACTATAAAATATCTGATTGATTTTTTTGATTTGCCAATCCCTACATAGCAATGTTGTAGAATATTTTGATAAAATGTAATAAAGGTATTGGCAGATTGTTGATGCTATTTAACATAATATAATACTTTAAATTTAATAAATTTAAAATATCATTCAAAATTATTTAATTCGTAATGTCAGTAAAATTTTAGCCATACGTGACTAAATCTGACCGATCATCATTACAATAATTTTTGATAATAATCGTTGCAAAGCACAATAACTTATAATTATTGTATTACTAATATTAAGAATTGGTTAAATAAGAAATATATTCGTTTGTCGTGAGAATTTTCATGTAGGGTTTAGTATTTGCTTTTTTGAGCGTTGCACAGCTATTTAATTATTTTCGCATTTATTGTCAGTAACTTTGGTTAAGAATCATAATTACAGTTTACGAAAGTATTAATAATAAAAAAAATGTTCAACTGGCAGCCTTAATAAAAAATAATAAAATAAAAATATTGACACCGTTATAACTCATGTTATGTTGAAAATGGATAGAATTGTGATGTGACGTAACAGTATATTTATTATAGCAAAAATGTAAAATGTCTTAGAGATTCAAGATTTTATGGGTAATACTAATGAAATCATTACAAATATACAGTGTCATGATATCGTATCGTTAAAATTTTCACAGTGATAAATATAAAAACTCGATTTAATTTTTAATAAATTTGCCTTTCCTAGCAGCTTTTAACCATAATACATGTATACTCCTTCGCACTTGCTCGTCATATTTAGCTGGTTTATAAGTATATTCTAATACATCGTAGTTATTGATAACATAATTTTCTTTTATCGCTTTACAAATTTAGTCTTTACATCATCAGCACATAAAGTATAAGAGATATTCTATTGATGATTTCTCCGGAAGTGAATCTCTTAATGTGATAAGGGGAGAAATTTATTTCGCCTTTCCCATTAAAAATTAATGCCGCTAATGCTATATTAAATCTTACTCCAGCATTTTTTGAAAAGGCTATCATTGTATCAGATAACCTCCATTGAGTGTCACCTCACAATCGATATTGTCATGATCTATTTCATCATCGAAAATTTTGATTATTTGCACATCATCATCATCGCTAATTACTGAATATAATGTTGGTTGATACGTAACAAAATGGTAAAAATGTTAGATGTGGATCTTTCTTACATACTAAAATAAAGAAAAGTTAATTTATAAGAAAAGTGTATTCATGATTCAAAATGCATGAAAAGATGATTGAAATGAATGTTTGTTACCATGTGAATTGAAACTATGTTATGTCGTGTAAATCCTTATTAATAAAATAATTCATCTAGTTCTTTAATCAAATCAATGGCTCTAAACGAAAATCCTTGCTGGGGTCTTTCTTTAGCTTGCGATAAGTATACATAAAATCCTTGAATGGTCTTGAAAAAAAAAAATTTAAAATATATATAAAAATTTTGCAAATGCAACTATTTTAAATTTACACTTTCGGCAATCATCCTATCATAAGGAAATGATTCAAGGCATCGGAATATTTTGCGCTTAATTCTGGATCGTTATTAGATATTTGATATTTAGCGAATATTCTCGCGCATGCATCATCATTCTTTGTTTCTTGTGAGATAACGTTATTAACGCGAAAATTATTGTAAATTCATATTATTTTTTATATATATATAGTTATACTCATTTTAAGAAAAAAAATAATTTTGATACGATTACAAAATGGTTATTAAATTTATGCCATTTTTCCTTATCGTTTAATTTATTTCGTACTACATTTCAATCGGAAAAAAAATTAAAATGTGGGCTTTGTTGGGATGATATTAAGATAAATCAAATTGCAGCTCAAAAACGGAAAATTTTATGATAATTACATATAGGAAGAAAAAAGCCAATTAAAAATAAAATTATTCGGGAAGAAATGCCAAATAAGATATATCCGTTTCCGCAGAAAAATTAAAAGTATCCGGATGAAATGTAATATGATTTCATATCATAATCTTTTTTTTAAAAGAAAAAATATACTTTTTCGTCTTTTGGTTACACTTTTAATGAAGTTGGAGGTTTTAGAAAAAAAATCGCAACTCAACTCGAACTTTATTAAATAATTTATATAATTTTAATTTGTAGTAAATTAATGCGTATTAAAAACTTTAATATAATTGTTAAACATTTGTTTTATCGTTTTTATCCGAAAGTTTACGGATGTTGCTGACGTCCGTATTTATTTGAATAAACGCGGAAATAAGCCACCAAAAAAAAAGAAAAAAAATAATGTAAATTTTTTGTCACGTTCTCAACCTTAGCGCTACGTCGGGTCGGGTTTGAAGCATATTCGAACTCGAACCCGTTAATATTTACGGGAACCGAATTCGACTCGATCCGATAATTGTTCAACCCGAACTGAAAATTTTTAAACTCTAATTTTAAGGGTAATATTAATGCCGAAGTAAAAATTTTTTTAAAGTTTTTTAGTTGTACAATAATATATATTATTGCTATCAGGAATTCAATCACATATTGGCATTATAAACTGATTTACAGTAACACTCGTTGCTTTATTTAAAGTAATTTCACGGGTAATCGGCGATTACCAGTGAAGTTATGGTATAATTATTCTGGATTATATTCTTTACATGAAGATTTGTAATTGATGGGGGTACATTCTTGAAATAGCCAAGATAATTCTTTGAATAACAACAATTTTCTCTATCATGAATATCCGAAGCATTTTTGTGAAAACTTGAAGTTTGTTGTATAGTTTGCCGCGATGGAAGTGAAAAAATTATTATCCAAAAGTACCGGAGGGCTTGTAGTGTACTCTTTTAACTAATCTTGAGCTTCTTTAAGAGAAATATAAGTATTATTGATAAGCGGCTCACTTTAGGCTTCTTGTTATTAGCTGCATCATTACTAACAACATCAAAAGCAAATTGTTTTATCCTTTCCTTTATGTTTTGTAGGGATACAGGGCTCAGGTGTTTCGTCAAGATCGACAATAGACCTTTTCTGAGCATTAGAGGAGGATGGTGTATCAGCATGAGATTGTTGTTGATGATTGTTAATGTTGGCCAAACGATCATGAAACATATTTTTAATATAAAGCCACATTTGTTTATTTTGGGCAAGTCTCGTGCTTGCTTCTGAAGGGCAGCATCGATATACATTCGCAGGGAAGAGAGAATTTGGGAGATGAGTTTGAACAAAATGGTCTAGGAGTCGTAATAGTCTAAATTTTCATTTTTCCATTATTCCATCGATTACAAAAGTTAATTGGCGCAGTAAGTGATCGGCATATTACCGTTCCGTTTCGGACTTTTGTCGATGAGTTGAACAATATCATCATCTGCTACGAATACTATTTTCTCGTGATAATACTATCTTCATTAAGCAGTAATTTAGATTAGATTGCAGCAATTATTAATAATAAACACATAAAGAATATATACGAAATTTATTTCAATAATTTTCAGAAGAATTAAAAATAACGCGATCCAACTTTCTATTCCCTTTGTAAATTTAATTTTATGCCATTCGAAACGCGGAATATGGTTGCTATGAAATTTTGGATCATATACTATGCTGTAACCTGTTTTTAATAACAAATGACCAATAATTCTATAGATTATTTCTCGGGCTTAAATCAAGTTTATAATAAACATATGTCACATGGTCACAACAAGAAAGATGAGATATTTCTTTATAAAAAAAATTCAATGAACTGAATTCGAAATTGACCAGTAAAAATTTATGAAATAGTTTGACATATTTGTATAAAATTATCTTTTCAATTCTAGAATACAAACATTAACTTATATCGATTTATCACATGAAATAAACATTTTTGCGGAATAAATTATATATTTTGAGGGTTACGTCAGCAATTCAACAGTGCATTAAAAGTAAATAAATCAATAATTATGGTTATTTGTGTAGAGGTGTTATAATATCCTCTCGTTAATTTAATGAATTTTGTTCCCAGAAAGATAAAAAAATGATCAATGGTAGGAAATCTAGGGGGAAATTGCGAAATTCTTTTTAACTTGAATCTTGATTTGTAAAATCAATTAGTAACAAGATAATATTATAAGATCAAATTTAAAATTTCAATTCAATATATTGTGTATAAATTTGCTAATTACAAATTAGTTATCTCACGTCTTATTTGAAAAAGTCGTGCGATAGACTTTACCATTAGTAACATTCTTTGCTGTTGCGACAGTACTTTCCATAGATGCGAAACGTAACGATATCAGCACAGAACGTTTCAGTCCCAAATGAGTGTCGGGTAAATCAACAGAGAAATTACCCAACATTTTCATCTCAGGCTCGTCACAATATGATGCATTATATTTGGTGGTATAAAAAAATTCAAACATTATGGAAGTTTGATTGGGGTATACTGGTACCATACTCTCTGAGAACTCTTCGTTCACATCAACCTCTATTCCTTTTCTTGCCATTAAAAAAAACTTATAGATGCGACCTTCTGATGTTTTACGAGATGGTGGATCACCGGTCTCCTATTATTAAAAGAATAATAATTTATTTGGGTAATACATATTGATTATTTTGCAGGAAACAAACACACTTACCCATTTGGCATAAACCTGAACTCCATAAGTCCATTTTAATACTCTTGACGTAACGGTTTTCATATCAAGTCCATATTCACATGCACCGCTTACAATTGCAGCAGCTGGGCTAGGTGGTACTGAAATGTAAAATATTAATACATTTACCGGTTTTTTTTTTAAAAAAAATTTTAAAAATTTAAAATTAAAAGCATACTTGCTATTATCAAATCATTTCCGAATTTCTCTTTAACTTTATTTTGAACATACTTTGATTCACTGAAACCTCCAACTAAAAACATTACCGAACAATTCGAACATTTCGATAGCTGCATATCAATCAACCTTAAAATTTTGTTAATTACTGGATCAAAAAACGATTTCACGGTATCGAAATCAAGGTCAATAATCCATTCATCTTCATCCGACAATTGCTCCCTTTCTGATCCAGTGACATATTGCATAAGTGCCGGACATTTTTTCTGAATATCCAATTCAATACCTTTGAATTTGGACCTCTCACCAGTGAATGGAATTTTAATTACAGAACAAAAATATTTGTGCACAAGATAATTAATTTGGCCGTAGTGTTTTTCCTTTAACTTGTTCATTGCAGATTTACCTACTCGACTTTCGAGAAATTTTAGAAACTCGTCATCGACGTAAGTTCCGCCGCAATAATCACCTGTTCGTTCAGTTGTTTCTGCTAATCGATCATCCGATAATAATCTTCTAACAGTTAAATCCACAGTTCCTCCTCCACAATCAACGACCAAGTAAGTTGCTAAGTTAAAACCCAATAACAATATTATTAAACAACTAATAAGGAAGATAAGTTAAAAATTCTTTACTAACAAATACCTCCAGTAGTTAATTTGAGTTCTTTCAACCTATTCATACAATGAATTGCAGCAGCTTCCGCTAAGAATAGATCAAGATATTAAACTAATATTAACAACAATAACTTTGTAATTCTCTGAAAACATTTCTTACGTTCAGTTGTAAATTGAAGATTTAGTGTTCCAATAGATTTGATCAAACCGGCGTCGTATATGCATCTTCTCATAATTGTCTTAGAATTTTCACTGAATTCTAAATTATAATTTTTAAAAATGACTTATATAATTGCGTATAGCTAAAATGTATATAAATTTATAAATATAATAAGAAGTTACCGGCAGGTACTGTGAAAACAAGTCGTATATTATTGTAAAAATCAATTCCGGGCCAATGATCCTCGATTTTCTCTTTCATAGTCTAAAAATTAATTCGTTAAACCAATACTATAACGTATAAACAGATAATAAATGCATTATCATCATACCTTTCCTTTATTTTTTTTTTTAAAAAAATAAAAAAAAATTTATATACATTAATTAAGAGTCATAAAAGAGTCATGCAATAGAGAACAAAATTAATACCCATTTGATGAAGATAATCGGTTATCGCTTTTTCAAATTTAAGTTCAGACGGTAATTTGGGCTTTTTATTTTCCGGAACATCTCCTAAATAAAATTTGAAGTATTCAACCGGTCTTGGTAGTTTATTGTTATGTCTTTTCCTTCTACTTGGTTCGGAACTTAACGCATCAGCTCCCCAAGTGACAACTTCTCCATAGCTTTCGTCATATTGCAATACAGTATTTATTTTATTAGTATTTTTAAAATTTCCCCACTCCTCATTCACTACAATATTTGGTTTTGTCTTATTGTCTTGAATATAAGCGTAAGCAAAACCCTGAAAAAAAGTAATGAAAACAAAAGGTTAGTTAATTGAAAGGTACAATTATTTAGAATAGTACTTAGTAATTAAGAATAATACCGAAAAAGTTGTGCCGAAATCTAAGGTTTAAAGAATTATTTTGAATATATAATATTAAAAAAAAACCTGAAAGATGTCTTTAGGAATAATATGCTTACCAACTCCAACAACTACGCGTAAATCCTCAATTATAGCAGGCTCATATTCAAATGTATGAATTTGTGATTCCATGTTTTTAAAACAAAAAAAAAAAAAACAAGGAAAAGGAAAAGGAAGAAAATTATTATATTTGTGGAATGAACGGATATAATAAGTTCTTCTAACTTTGTTTGCTCGTGCAACGTTCAATTTCCAAATTTAAAATGCTTGCTTTATTTTAAATGAGCCAATAATATTTATGAGACAATGTGATAATAGAGAGGTATCACATAGTATATTACCATTTAATTCTACATAAACCACGAACCAAAGAAAAGAAACATTATAATGTATCTTTATTATTTAATATTCAATTTAATTTATTAGTTACAAAAAAAATAAAGAGAGAATTTTTTGCTATCATCTATTTTTATTGGTAATGCCCGTTATAATTTGGGCCGGAAAGATCACTTTTAAATTTTCATCAACCCTTTCAGCTTCACAAAGATTAGATCCAATTATCGGAAACGCACAAGCATCAACATATAAATCTTCAAGCTCCACTTCGTCCCAAGATGCCTCCATCATTATGGTATTGATCTCCGTATGTTTTTCAAAAAATTTCCAACCGGCAATAGGTACTTGCACTTTTAGTCTAAAAAGAAATATTCTAACCACATGTCTAACAATCTCGTCGATTAACTTTTCATTTTCTGTCAATTTGTCTTTATTCTTAATAGTACGATATCGATTCATTAAATCAATAATGGCTTTTCGTAAATTTACAATCAATGGATGTTCTTTATCTCCTTTATCTGAAATAATATTGGAAAACCCACGATTTCCAAGAATAGCATAAATTTGTTGGCGAATTTTCGTTGAGGTGGCTTTGCTAACCGTTTCATCTCCAGCGCGATTTGTTGAAATCGAATCTGTTAACTTCAACAATTGTTCGGTTACATTAATTATATTCATTTCTAGATTTTGCTGTTGACTTGCGTTATCTTCAACTTTTTTGATATCTATATCGTTTGTTTGGTTATCAAAGTATTTATTGGCCATTTCAATGACTGTTTCTATCACAAGCCGTTCTAATAAGCCAGAAATCAAAGGTTTATTATTACGCAGTTTCCCGGTGAAAGAACAACCAAACTTTTCCAAGAGTTCTTTCACCTCAGGTTCTTTTAGATCAACACCTCTCTTAAGTCCACAGAACTTCTCTAAATTGCTATGCAAAGCACGAATGTCTTCTGATAATTGAACAGCACTATTGGAATCTTGACTTCCTAGATGAAAACTTGTTGCGTCTCCCAAAGCTGATTGATACCTAGTAGTTTCTTTCTTTAAGTCCTCATTAGCTTTTTCCAAACCATTAATATAATTATCCCTTGTATCTAAAATTGCCTCAAAATTTTTGTATTCTATTTGAAGATTTTTCAATTTACTTTTGAGTTCCTTATTTTTTGATTTGAGTTCTTGTTGATTGAAAGAAAACCAATCCGCAAATCCGTAATGATAATCGTTTGATTTCGGTTTAGATTTATTTTGAATTTCTTCCAAATTTCTTAACAATACTTTATTTTTGTTTTCCAATTCTTCACAATAACTCTTCAATTCTTCAGGAATTTTATCATAATACTTAGTGCTATTTATATTTTCATGAGTAATCTTTAGGTCATTAACCGGTAGGTAATTAGGATCTTGAATTTTATAAGCATATGCAGCGTAAACATCCTGCTGTTGTTTAAATAATTGTAAGAGTTCATATTGTTTTTCGAAGAAATGTTGCTGTTGTGAGGGTTGTTGTAGATGTTGTGGTTGCAATTTCTTTTCAAGAACTTGCAAAGTTTCTTGCTGCTTACCTAAAAGGTTTCGCAACTTATAAAAAAATTCCTGTTGTTCCAAGAATTGTTGTTGCAACTTTTGTTCAGAAAATTGTGGATTTTGTTGCTGATGCAGTTGTATTTGCGTTAATTGTTGCTGTTGCTGTTGTAAATTTTGTTCTGAAAAATGTTGATATTGCTCATGTTGTTGATGCTGATATTGTTGCGTTAATTGTTGTTTATTTTGCTGTTGTAAATTTTGATCCGAAAACTGCTGATTTTGCTGCTGTAAATTTTGATTCGACAACTGCTGATGTTGCTGTTGCAAATTTAATTTTGGGAATTGCTCTAATAGTTGCTGTTGCAAATTTCCTTCGGAAAACTGCTGATTTTGCGTTAATTGTTGGTTTGGTTGTCGTAAATTTTGTTCAGAAAACTGCTGATGGTGCAAATTCTGCTCTGAAAATTGCTGGTGTTGCTGAAATTGTTGCTGTTGTAAATTTTCTTTCGAAAATTGCTGATGTTGCTGTTGCAAATGTTGATTTTGCTGTTGTAAATCTTGTTCGGACAACTGCTGATGTTGCTGCTGATGATGATGCCATTGTAGATTTTCTTTCGAAAACTGCTCGTTTTGCAGTTGTATTAATTGTTGTTGCTGATGCTGCTGTTGAAAATTTACTTCAGGAAATTGCTGAGGTTGATCTCGTTGTAAATTTCCTTCTGAAAACTGTTGATGATGATGTAAATTTTGTTCCGATAATTGTGTAGATCCTTCTTTATTACCCTCTTTCTCTTCAAGGTGTTCCAAAGACATTTTAAACGTTAAGATTAGATTTCATTATAATTTGTCTCATTATATATATTTGTAGATTTTTGTTTAAGCTAAAAATAGTAAAATTATTACCAAATCAATAACATGGCTGAATTGCATGGGCTAAAGTTACAGATATATGTTGTATGACCTTCTACAATCACATTTCACTTGTGTCACGAAATATAAATAAAAAATGCAAAGTATCAAATCACACACACTCCGTCCCCAGCTGTAAATTTATACATTAAAAAATTTTTTTGATTGGTTATCAACACACGACTCTGTTCCGTAAAAATGGTTCTAAATTCAGGCCAACTCAGAATCTACTTAATTTAGAATTGGCCGACTTTTTTGAGCCGTCCCTTCCCTACCCCGTAAAATAATGGAAAATTTTAGATTAAAATTATAACATTTTTATTGATAAATTAATTAAATTAATGCTCCATTCCTCTATCGTTAAAATTTCGACTATACAAAGGACAAGGAAGAATTTAACCTGAAAGATGAATTTTCAAGTTCTTAAGATGTATTTTTCAGATATTGTCCTTTGAGGCGCCATCCTGTTCATTAATCCTAAGGTAATCTGGCAAAACCTGAGGCGGAAATTATTTTAAAACGTAAAATTTCGATGGATGACAAGAATTTTGACGGTTGGTATAAATTTCAACGCGTGGCAAATATTTTGACGCAATTAAAATGTGGATGAATTTTTTATCAGAATTTTCAAAATCTTGAATCTTTTTGATAATTTTAAATACCAAATACCATTTTAAGTTATGATCTATTAAGTGAAATAATTAATTTATATAAATTAATTAATTGTTTAAAAAATTGCTTAATCCAAAGTCTGTGATTGGCGAATTGACATTTTAAGTTTGTCGATGATCATTTCCAGAAAAATTTCTATGCTATCATTAGAATTGTATTTTGTAACACTTTTCTGATATGATCATGTAAAAGATATTTTTACAAAAATTTGGTTTTGTTGTATTTTTTGTTAATCTTTTATTTATTTTTTATTAATTTTTATTGGATGACATTTAATTTTATTGAATTAATTTTTTAATCATTTGTTTTTTTTAAAAAAATTGTTATATTCTTTTATAACATTTTTTTTTGAATAATACTTTTTAATCTCTTATTTTTCTTTCTTTTTTATAATTTATTTTTTTTTTAAAGTGAATCTAATTTTAACCTTATTTTTGGATTCTTTATTTTTGAAATAAAATAAATAAATTAATCTTGTAATTTGTTTACATTTTATATTTAAAAATTAATAATAAAAAAAAATGTTGTTTTTTTTTTTGATTTTAATTTTAAAGAAAAAAAATTACTTTTAACAATATATAATTATACTTGGCATGGTAATTATCTTAATTAAGAATATACGTAATATGTAATTATGGTAATTAATTACCATTTTTTTTAAAAAAACATAATTGCGAAATTAATTATAGGGGTGATAATTAATTATAGAAGACATAATTATTATCTGGATGGCACATCTGAAATGTGTGACAGGTTATACTAATTATATGGCTTAAAGTATGTGATGCATTTTTCAAAAAAAAGTGTCTAAGTTAAATTTTACTGCAAAAACCCAACCCGTCGCCTTAAGTAAACTTGTAATACAAGTAAAAATACATCTATAAAGAGATTATAAAAATCATTGAGCATCTTAAAATAGAAATGATCATCTAAAATGTTTCTTCTAATAAAACATTTTTTTTATTAATTAAACCATTTTCAGTATAATAAGTAAAGTTGTTCATTATAATAAAATGTTCATAATTTTAAATTTTAATATAAATATAATTGCTATTAAATATATATGATAAAATGTATTCAAATTTTCACGTTTTTAATGCAAATTTTTAGCTATAATTAAACATTAAATATTTCGATCTTAATTTACTTTGATTTGTTAATTAAACTTGTAGATCATATTAAAGTCATTATTTTCTAAATTTCAGATTAATCCTACTAATACATAAGAAGATTGTTTTCTTAAAATAAAAAATAAAAATTTTTAATAAATAATTAACAAAAAAATATTTTTTTAAATTTAAGAAAGACGATCTCCTTGAGTATTAGTATGATCAATCTAAAAATTTAGAAAATTATGATTATGGTTTAATTAATAAAAAAATGTTTTATTAAAAGAAACATTTTGGATAATCATTTCTATTTTAAGGTATCTGATGATTTTTATATACCTTCTGTACATATATAATATTTAAGTCAAAATTTAATGTTTATTAAGGTTTAGTTTTGAAAAGAAAAAAATTCGTAAAAAATTATCTATAACGTAAGTGCCAAATATCATATTGATCATTTCCAAAAAAGTATTTTTTCAGTATAATTTATTACAATTTAGACATATCAGGAGTGGTAATAAATACTTATAAATGTAATTAATTACATAGATAGTAATTAATTTTGGGAAACGTAATTAATTATGGGGTGGTAATTAATACTTATAGACATAATTAATTACAAGAATAGTAATTAATTATGGGTGACTTAATTAATTATGAGAAATATAAATTTTTTTAATATATAAGTGTATAAAAAGAATTTCATAGCATTGTGCATAATTTTCTTTTATGGTATTAGTTATGTAATGTATGATTAATATCAAGATATACATTAAATTCAATTTATTTAAAAATTGGAATAATAAAAAAATCTCTCTCCCCTATTTTACAAAACCAAAATTTTCATACGAAAAATAAAAAATTTAAAAGTTTGTTTTTAACAAAAAATTAATTAATAAACCTAGTATAAAGAAGGCTTCTTTTGTTTCACCCCACCTTCTTACTTACACGAAAGAGTTATGACGCGTAAAAGTGCTATAAAACAAAAAAATAGTGATCTAAGTTCATTCCATATGTCATTCTAAAAGCCTCAAAGGAAGCTGTTACTTCTATACCAGCTTCTTTGTCTTCTTTAATCTCAACTTCTATTCCCACCAACCTTGATTTAGAAATTGTCTAAGAAGTTTTTGACTCATTACCTGAAAAAATAATGGAGTTTGAATTTTTTGACATTTCTAAAATTGCTACTCCTAACAAAATTTCACCAGTTATTCCGCCCTCAAATAACAATAATAATAATAACAACAAAGTTGATGATATTTCTGAAAACTCTTCTTCAACTAAAGATAAGTCAAAACTTTTAGACCCTGACGAATATCTCGAAGATGATGATATAGAAGAAAACCTAAAAGATTTCACAGTTATTACCAAAGCCACTCCCTTTGCAGTTGCTAATCATATCAAGTTTATATTTAAAGAAAAGAACAACAGCAAAATTATTCTCGCTGTCAATAATGTTTTTGCTCAAAATAACGATTTTGATGAGTTTTAGTTCATCGCATCAATTTGACGTATTCTATAATCGTTTATTTTGTGATGTCAGATGTAGCTGCTGCAGCCTTACACATGACTATTCCTGATCTTAAGATCAATACTTTCTGTTATTTCTCTTAATACAAAGCTAATATGCAATTTAATGAAAGAACTATTCATCTATTACAAATGAATCCTGCTAATATCAAACAAGTTTTTGCCAAATATGGAATTGTTACCAATTTTAAAATGACAGTAAGAAGTATGTGACAACATGCCTATATTACTTACGAAAGCCCTAAATGTATTGAGCTATTTCATCAAGTGTGGAATCATTTTGTTCAGAATGATTTAGTTTGTGTCAATCCTTGCACTTTGTTCCCAAAAGAAATTAAATATAGGAATATATACCATATCAAATTGATGAATCTTCCCTTTGTTACCTCTGCAAGAGATCTTCATGATATAATTCTTGATACTAAAGCTAGAACTAGCTATATTCCTAGATCCAACAATTATAAGCCTCATCCTTTTGTTATTTTACATTTTGAAAATGAGGAAGCTCTCAATCATGCAATGCAACAAAACTTTGCTTTTGGTAATAATTAATTGATGTGGTGTTTTCCTGATGCTAGAAGCTGTCACAAATGTGGCGATCTAGCTCATCTTGTTATGAAATGCTCCTTTTTACAAAAATAAGTTACACCAATGATAATGAAGAAACTATTAAACTGAAGACACCCACTCAAAACAATTCAATGCAAAGACTCTACAACAAATATAAACCTGCTGGCTTTATAAAATTTGTTGATTCTAATAAATCTAACCATTCTTCCAAATCTTATTCTGAGGTCATCAAGAATAAGAATACTCCTCCACCTCCATCACCAAAAGATGTTATCAAACCAACTGTAAAATATTCTGTTCACAATCAAAATAATGAAATCAATAATAAATTGGATCAGATTCTCTCAATTCTCTTCAATATGAAAAAGGATATGAATGACTTGAATGCTAGAATCACCAAACTGGAATTTCTTCAGGCTCCTTCTCCACTTACGTTTACAATAATTCTTTCCATTATTGTTAGTAAAGGAAAAGATCTATTTATTGTTTCACATGTTTCTCAACCTTTACCTAAATCACAAGATACATCTAATAAAAGATCTCGCATTGCTGAATCTTCAAGTGATGACTCTTCACCCTCACTAATTTTGACCCCAAAACCTGACCTTACTATATGGTGAATAAACAAGCTGCTATTATTGCTGAATAGAAAAGACAAATGGACAGAATATTCAAACAAATTGAACAATTCGTAATGAATGCTAGCCAGTCTCAAAATTAGATACACCCATTTTGCACATTCTTTAAATGATTAATACAATGAATAATATTCTGTTACCTAACACTTCTCCCACAAATTTAATTAACAATAATGATCATTTTCTTCCTAACAATAATAATGCTCCCCTTCCTCATAATTTACTTTTATCACGTGATTAACTTACCCTTATTATAGACAATGATTTAGAAAATTCACATAGTGATGATAAAGATTTAATTTTAAACAGAAACACTCTCACCTTTGCTACTCATAATGTACAAACTCTCCGTGATAATGTTAAAAATAGCAAGATTCTAGATACATTTCACCAAAAGAACGTTAACTTTGTTGCCTTATCAGAAACTTAGCATCAATCTTCACAATCTTTTAGATGTTCTTCTGACCTCTTTTTTGATACTTTGTGAAGTTCCATCTCTAATAAGTTCTCAGGTGTTGGTTTACTTATTAGCATATCCTGGTCAAAGCATATTGCTAAAAAATTCTTAGATAATGATCGTTATATTTATGTTTATCTCTATTTAAAAGGAAACATAAAACTAAGAGTTTTCTCAGTTTATATTCATGCTACTGAACCTAAAGAAAAAAAGTCCTTCAAATAACATTATTGATAATAGCCTTCAGTCTGGTTTTCACATTATCATTATGGGAGACTTTAATGCAGATCTGATCAAATTATAACACCTCATTGATTCTGGTAAAACTATTCCTTGGAAGTATGATCTCGTACATGGTTTTGTACTTAGAAACTTTTTGGACTTATATGACATTTGTTATGATATATCCTTATCTACATTCAAAAGATCAAATACTTCCAATCGTATTGATACAATCTTTGCTTCTCAGAATCTTGTAGCAATTTTCTTTATTGTAATATAGTTTATTCGTACTTATACAAATCTGATCACGAGATTGTTATTGCTTATTTTTCCAATATTCAACATGAATCTCAATCTCATTCAAGGAACAATAATACCAAAAGAAAAGTTCCTCTTCTCAAATCTATGGATTCCTCAAAATGGACAAGCTTTGCTGACTATTCCAATACTTATTACAACAACCACAATTTTGATCGCTTAAAAGATCTCCCATCCAATCATGCTAACATGAATAATCTTTGGATAGAATTGAAAAAAGCTGTTTTTGATATTAGTAAGTTGAAAATTCCTCACAAATAGATCTCTACACAAGAACGTATACCAAAATCAAAAGATTTTTCTCAATACTATCTATCACTTACCAAGATCAAAAAGATTCTTCTAAAATTCAGTCCAAAAGGCTAAGTGAATGGCTTTGGCCTATTGGTAAAGAATGGAAATGTGATCTAAATATTGTCGCAAATATTGTCAAAGACATTTCATATCCTTTAGATCCTCTGCCTCAATTTTTAAATTTATCAAATGTTAGAGATGTTAAAAAAACTCTTAACTGCATCTACAAAGTCTTGTATAAGCTCATTAAATTAAATACTAAGAAAAACACTAATGCACAAATAAAATCACTTATTGGAAAAAGGTGTGACCAACTTGAATTTCAACCTGGTAAAATGATAGACTCTATTTTACAATGAAAAAAGAGGAAAATTACTTTGAATCGAGTCTTTGTCAACAATAATGATGATTTCAAATACTTTACACTATATTCTGATGAAATTAAAAAAGTTGTAATTAAATACTTCCAAAATAATGTATTACCATTAACGCCTCCAAGATCTTTGGATTGAAGATAGATCTCACAATATCAACCAAAGGATTATGTTTCTGAAAATATATATGACAATCTTATGCAACTTCCAACATATAATGAATGATGCTCAGTTCTTTCACACTTAGCTAAAGATAAAGCTGCTGAATCTTCAGGTATCTATAATGAAATGTTTCATTACCTAGGAGACAAGTTCCAACATCTAGTATGGCAATTAATTAGCATATGTTTTGATATCAGTGACACTCCTAGTGAATGGAAAATTGCACATGTATATCCTATTCCCAAACCAATGGAATGGGAATATGACATTACCAAAACCCGTCCAATCACCTTATTAGAAATATTAAGAAAAGCATTCGTCAAAGTTGTTACTAATCGACTCTCAAAAATTCTCGCTAATCATCATATCCTGAAAGGTAATAATTTTGCTGGTTTATCTGATGGTTCTACAGAAAAACCGATCAAAATTCTAAATATGTTGTTAAAAGATGCTAATGAAAAAAAAGAGCTTTTGATTCTATTGCAAGACCTATCTAAGGCATATGATCGTATTGACTTAAAATTTTTTCGCCTCGTATTAAAACATATCAAAATTTCTGCTAAGTGTGTAGATCTAATCATCAACCTCTTCACTAATAGAAAAAATGCAATTTTTACAACCAATGGTCTTACTGATTACTATGATATCAAAATTGGTATTGATTAAGGAGAAGTTATTTCTCCTTTATTATGTTGCATTTATCTTGATTCTCTTTTATGTAAAGTAGATGCTTTAAACAAAGGATATGAAATATTTCATAAATGAACTAATAATATAATCAGCAAAATCATTATAACTCTTTCTGAATCTGTATCATCCTTGGCCTTTATGAATGATACTAACTGGATTGCTAACTCTCAACAAAATTTAGAAGACATTCTTACGATTGCTGATGATTTTTATGATTTAACTAGAGCTGCCTTAAACAAGTCCAAATCAAAGCTTATCATAATAAAATCTTTTGCATCCCCAACTATCAATATCAATTTTGGCTCCTTCACTGTCAATATCATTCCTGAGTTAAATTCTGTAAGATTTCTAGGAATTTGGATCAATCGTTCAAATTCTCAGACTTTTATTAAAACTCGAGCTCAAAAAGACATTAATAATTTTGCTGCTGTTATAAAGCCCAAGCCTCTCACAGATAAACAAATTGCATACATCGTTAATGCAGTCTTTTACCTGCTCTTAGAATATAGATT